CTAATTTGTTCCAAAATATAAATATAAATATTGTTTTATCATATTTGAATTCTTAAGAGGTTGAAACTATGCAATACATTTTCCTTTATTAAAAAAAAAAAAACAGAAACAAGAAATTTGATTTTGTTGTTTCCCGATCGTTTATGTTTTCAAAAAATTAGAAACGTACCAAACATGCTCTTAGAGACTTATTTGACACAATCTTGAAAAGTTTAGGACCAATTATTTAGTTTTAAAAAAAGTAATTTTGAAGGGAATTCACAGCAAATGAGAGTAGATATTACGAAAATGGGCATACTTTTTTGTAGGATTGGGGAAAATTCTAAAGAAATACGACAAGAGAAGAGGGGGATTACTACGCTCACCATTCATGGAAAAGATCCTCCAACAGCCATTCTACACAACAGAGCTGCTCTCAAAGATGATCAAAGAGTGCGAAAGCAGCATAGACTCAGTTTTCCCTGCAAAAGAAGCCAACATTTTACAACAATTGGGCCAAAGGCCAAAGCCGAAGCCAATGGAAGGAATAATATTCAGAAACACAGTTTCAGCTCTGCTCGGTATGGAGGAGATCAGAAGAGGAAGCTCCACTTACAGCCATTTCTCTCTTCCTCCCCTCAACTTGCCTGAATCTGACCTCTTCCACTCCTTTCACTTTCAGCTCGCCTCTCCCATCCCAATTCTCTAGATCATTTTTCAACATATTCACACACTTTTTCCAGGTCTGTTTTCTGTTTCGGGGAGTTTTGTTGGTTATGTTACGCAGTTGAAATAATATATACATATACATACATGGAGACCACATAAGGAGCTCTTCCTCATTCAGTCAGATTATTCAGTAAGATATGGTATGGTTTGACCCTATGTTTGAACTTCTAAGGTCATCTCTCTCATCTTGTTATTTACAACTACAGTCACGTCGGCTTGGATTGACTGGAAAAGGGCCGACTCGAAAAAGGCGAGACTTTGAGCACAACAAAAATTAGTGTTTCACCTTCATCTTGCTCAGGACAACCTTAAATTTTTATAAGATACATTGCACAGATTGATTGGGTGATAATAAGCTATAGTCTCGGGTTTTTGCCCTCTCGGATTGAAGTGGGAGGCACAAATGCCACCACAATCCTCTTCAATACTTGTCATGCATCCTCCTCTAGACTTTCAAGTCTGTCGTTGTTCGAGTCCATCAAGAAGTGGACTCTTTTATCATGTTACATTGACCAGCAATTCTTCGAAAATCATCTAAATTTAACTGTGATGGAAAAGAAAATGGTCATATATATCCCAGAAAGGATGATCAAGACTAGGATTAAAGCAAAGATATGATGAAACAACAGGAAGTTATTTTATATATATGTAAAACTACAAGGAGTGCTTTCTGGCCCGGCCAAAATACTTCTCCCTCATTATCATCATGGTTAGGATAGATATAAGAGTGTTCTCTTAAAAACCAAAAGCACTTGTAGAGTATTTTCAGTTGGAAGTGTTTATAACCGATTAAAGTGAGTTGTTAATAAGCACTTTTTAGTAAAGGACTTTTTGATAGAACCAGAACAACTCACAATATATTGAAATATAAAAGATATAGAAACTAAAATAGCTACCAAGTAATTCGAGGTACTTGGACCCTCCCCTCTTTTGAGTATTCTTACTCAAGCCTAAACCATACTACTAATTGCCTACCTTCACCCTTACCCCCTCACCTTATTTATAACCAGAACTCCCTAACCCAATTACTAATAACCCTTAATACCCTAACAATATCCCCCATCTATTCTAATAGCAATCCTATCATTTTGTTTAAGATAAACTCAAACGTACAACATTCTAGGATGTCTATATACCTTAATTATTGAGCTTAGATTGGTAACTCATGTTTTTCTTTTTTTTTTTTGGATATCCGTGAGTGTCTGGCCCAGCTTACACGCACCTTGACTAATCTCACGAGACAACCGCCTAACCCTACAACCTTTGGTAACTCAAGTTTTTATTTAATGTTTCTCCAACCAAATAGAGTTAGTTGACAAGAAATTTTCCAATTTAGACCTTTCAGCCACCACTACCATAATGTCAAAACAGCCATCAGAAAGATAATTGAAAAGTCTTGTTTCTGTTTCAAAACATAGAAGATGGATCAACTTCTTAAAAGAATGAAAAAGTGTTTTTTTGTATATTTCATACCAACCATGAAATAGCAGTTTCTTAACCCCAAAAAAAGAAAAAGCGAAAAGTTTTAAACAAATCAACTAAACATAGTCTATCATGTCATATCTTGTCTGTATTGTAAAGTAAATGAAGGACTAGGAACATTATTAAAACATCGATTAACGTGAATGTTTGATGGTATCATTAGAACTTTCAGAACTTAAATGACTAAATCGAAAACATATACCTTATCCACCATAACTCTTTGAAGATTATGACTTTATCAGAAATAATAGGTTCCGACGATGAAAGAAGAGCATGAAAAGAAGCAACTAACCTTCCCATCTCCATCACTGTCGAAGCAATCAATCATATCCTTTAATTCTTGGTCTGACCAAGTAAAATCATGAGCTGCTGCTACTCTTTTCATGTCACTAACAGAGATGCTCCCTTTCCATAACTCTATTATAGACACATTTACCAGGTCAGTAGAAAACAGTGCTATAAGATAATTCAGGCAATGAAAAATAAAATAATTTAATTTGAAGTGACTAATTATCAAGTATTAAGGGTGAAGCAAACTTTAGAAATTGCATGAAGCTATATTAGGCTAAATTATAAAAAATACCCGACATTTGTCATTTTTTGCAAAAATACCCCTATCATTTCAAAAATTTCAATCCTACCCTTAGCCTTTAATAAACGATTAAAAATAGCTTTTGAGCAAACATCCGTTAATATTTTGAACAAAAAGTTAATGTGAGAGAATCTAGAATAATGTGGCAATTAGCGTCCCAATTTTGCCCTAAATCTTATGTCTCTATTGTCAACAAAATTTGCTTTCTCAATTGTCTATCCAATTTTGCCCTAATCCCCTTAAAAATGATAGCTTCTTCTACATTTCCTTCTTTCCAGATTTACTTAAGGTGAGCTTCTACGTCAATTGCCACGTTCCAAATTTTGTCGCATCAACTTTCCATTCAAAATATTAATGGATGGATGTTTGCTCAAAGAGTATTTTTGAAACATTTATAAAAGGTTAAGGATAGTATTGAAACTTTTGAAAGGATAGAAGTATTTTAGAAACAAAGTGCAAAGTTCAAAGGTATTTCTAGTAATTTGGCCTTTTATTAACTATGCTCAGTATCGTTATAATATATTTGAAAAACTATAAAAAAATTACCATCAAAATAATAGAAGTTCACGATAAGTTCATCCTCATTCATTTGCATCCGGCTAGTGAACTGCAGAGCATATGAAAGACAAAGCATTAAGAGAATAGAAATATGAAGGAATGAGGGATCAGCAAGGCTACAAGACGTTATGAGTAAACAAGCTACCGATCCCTTTCGCTTCATTCCTCCTGTTATTTTCTGAGTCTTCACATTTTTCCTTTTAACATTTTCAATAGCACCTTGCACCTGTGCATCAGAATTAACACCAGAATCTCGTAGTGAAAGTTCGATCGCCTGCTTGGGAGGTCGTGATATAGTTAGCTCTTTTGTGCTGTCTTGTACGTCAAAGTATTGATGGGATATTTAGAATCTACCTGTCGTAAGGCATTATCATCATCTTCATCATCTAAATTATTTGATTTCTCGACAGAAGTTTTCCTCTTTGCTTTTGAACCTTTATTCTTACTCTGAAATAAGTTTAAAAGACTTTTCAGACAACGACACCAAGGAGATCGAGTTAAAACAAATGAAATTCATAGAGTAAAATACATGTAGAATATATGTTTCCTCTTCAATATACTTCGGGCAGGATTGAAATTCCCTAGGCACGAAACACACAAGAATACAAGAATATAAAATTTCGTTTTTCTCTAAATTTTAGGAAGTGAAACGAAGACTTGTGCTCTTGTTCCATACCACCAATTTCAACTTCCAGAAATATGTGTTTGGACTCCATGAAAGACAATATATAAATGTTTTGACTACAAGTAGTCCACCTTCTTCTAGTGTCCTCAATATATGGCCATTTAAGTAGAATAGGGTCTTGTTCGGGAATGGAGCTAGAGAAACAAAACAACAGCTTTCTAACAAAAACATTATTTTTTTTTTCTTAACTAGAAAATTTTCATCAATAAGAAAAGAGTTGGCAAAAAAAGAGAGAGATGAGCTATTTCCCAAGCTTAAGGTCTATAAACCACAAGAAACTATTTTGTAATTATAGCCTACACATGATAGTTAGGAATTGGAACGCTGCCATTGTTTAGTTTTTGAGGGGAGGGTCTCCTTGACCCTCTGCCCTTGGTTGTCTCCCTTTTTTATAGTTAATGAATTCTTTGTTTCTTATAATAAAAAAAAATGGAATTACAAGAACAATTCCCAATTGAGTTTAATTTATAAAATGAGTAACACACGTTTCTACCTATGGAAGAGTCCAGTAAGAAACATTCAAGCTCATAACATCCCACTGATCTATCCATTCTCTAAAGAAATCTTCAAAAGTGGTACCGTTTCCCTTCAGGAAAGATACAAAAGGATAGCTTTACACCCATTAAGCCACAAAATAGACCTGTGGTTCCCAGCATTAGGCCTACAAATACCTGAAAGGTTGCCTCCATTGTATTCTTAGGGTATGCCTAATTCACCGGCTTCTTTCATCGGTGGAATCAGCCCCCCAGCTGGCGATCGCTGAGTCACTTAATGAAGTCCTCCGTTTCTTTCGGGGGTGCTGACCCGCAGCGAGGCAGAGATGTAATGTGCCAAATAAATGATTCCAACACTTATAGGCTAACTCAGATTGTAAAGCTAAATGCTTAACATCTTCAACATACTCTTCACAATTGACATGAAAAAGAGGTGCAAGGACCAAGGCATTGCATTCCTCTGTTGTAAGACGATGCCTGGACACTTCAACTGTTTAGGAAATTTTTTCCTCTCAATGAACTCACCTGCATCTCCCACAATTACCTGTGAGGAATCTGAAGGAGACAGATTGCAAGGACTTGACAGCATGTAGGTCTGAACTCTCCAGCACCCGTCTTTTCTGGTCATTTTTCTCAATAGGTAAATGAAATAGATAGTCAACAAGACTAGCCCACTCCACCATTTCTCGGTCTCGGAGCAGTCTTCAAGAAAAAAAGTTCAGATAACTTGTTCCCAATTCCATCAACTCAAAATAAAATATTGCTTACTATATGCAATGGCATATAAGTCATAACCTAGGAAATTTCCTTGCGAGAACTCCATGCTTGTTCCCTCATTTCTTTTGACCGGTTGGAACTTAGAACTACTTAAATCACACCATCTCTATTGATAGGAAACATTTCTCCATTGAGGTTGATGGAAGATATTAACGAAGTCGAGAAAGGATTACAAATTTACAAAATATGGATGAGAAAATGCTTTTTCCTTCACTCTCCAATAGGGACACGTTTCCTGGTTACTTGACTGTTTCAAGCTACAAAATGGCTCTCCTCTTACCCAATTCAGAGAACATAAGGGCAATGACTAGGCTATAGGTTGAAAAGCTTCCAAACAAGAGGGATTACTTGGCCAAAATCACCAAGCTGGATGCAAATGGGGTAAAAGCAGAATCTTGGTTTGATTTTGAGATAATGTGATGCGGAATTGTTCCTTAAATTCCTTCCAAACAACAAAGCAATTATCAGGAGCTGGCTACCGTCAAAAAATTTGAACAATAAGAAAAAAAGAAACTTTTCTATTTATCATCTAAATACAACAATATATAAGCTTTTTGCAAAAATATAAAGTGGTTTAACTACCTTTTACAACGAATGTAATAATGATTAACAGAACACCTAGCGAGCTATCTTAACAGCCGAAGCAAGACTTCTTTGTTACAATCAGGCTGGCGGGATGTGTAACAACACACCAAAAAGCTTGGAAATAGAACACAATAGCCCATGGAAGACTCCCAAAAACCTAAATCTACTGCCCATGAACCCATAAAACCCTCCTATCTTTCTTCATCAACTCCCCCCACCCCCCATACCTTTCCAACTTCAACCACACACCCTTCCCCAAAAATCTCCTCCAAACTCTTTCTCTGTTCCAAAGCTTCTGAAACAATTTCCTCTCTACATCAATAGGTTTCCCCACTATGTCTGAAGGAAGAAAGACATCCTAAACTCTTTTGTCAAGACATTCAATATTTCCACTACGCTAAGATGAAACATGGAAACTAACTATGCATCCATGAAAAAGATTTCTTTATCACATTTGTCCCTCGTTCCTTTCCAATCATAATGAGAAAGATAGCAATTATCACTACTAACACTCACACAAGAACTAATCTGAAAACCTGAAATTCTCATCCATTTTGTTTCTTGAAATTTGGTTTCCCCTCTCACTAATAAGTTCCGAAGGCTTATTATTTTGGTAGAAGGTGACCTTGTACCCATTTTTGCCCTTCTTCCTAGTTGGTGTTTCGACAGCAAGGTAAAGATATTATTCGAATAGAAAAGCTTTGTCTGTGGCTGGAACCTCAGAGGAAAATCAAAGATTTTATAGTCTAATGCAATGAAAGCTATAGTGTGTGGAATTCAGAAAGAAAGAAATCAGAGAATTTAGTAAGGGAAAATCAGATTGTGGGTTGAGACTTTTTATCTAGCTAAATTTGCTAGTTCTTCATAGTGTTATTTGCCAAGTAATTTTTCTTATTATGCCTCCTCATAATAAATGGCGTTGGACTAACTTTATCTATATATTTGATGGATATTACAAATATAGAAACCGAAGAACAGTAAAACATTCGCACATTCTTTGAGTAAGCATCGCAATTGTAAATCATCAGTTAACCACCAACCCAGAAACATTGCAGGATCAATAATGGTGCAGCTACCACCAAATTATATAATTTAACAATCCTCAAATATATATGAAAAATAGTAGAAGGCACCCAATATCGGAAAATGGAGAGAATACCTTCATTCCACCAGATGCAGAAACTTTCCCACTTCCAAAATCTTCATCTCCTTCCTCCAAGCCATCAATTCCATCTCCATCTTCAGCACTCGAAGAATCCTCGCCGGGCTTATAATCTTCATCGGCATCATTATCCTCACCCAGTTTCCGCTTCCCCTTCTTATCAATGGTCCTCGAATTCTTAGCCGAACCCACAAGTGTTTTCGCCAAGTTAGCCAATCCAAGGGCCTCCATTCTCTTCTTGTTCTCGGCGATCCTAGAAAGCCTCTGTTTCTCATACTCCGACACGACATTGACATCTTTGCCATTTATGGAACGCCCTCGCTCCTCCGAATCCGAACTCCGGGAGTCCGGAGTTTCCCCGCGCTCGGAATCAGTGAGGTCGCGATCGGACATTGTGGATCGGTAGAGGACATTGGGGTTTGGCGTTGTTTGTAACTTGTAAGCAGGTAAAAAGCAATTAAGGATGAAGCTTGACTGGCGCTGGCCAGGCCGAGTAGGAGTGAGCAAATAACTTCAGAAAACCGATCCGACCGATCAAATCCCAAAATCAAATGTTTGGTCCTTCGGTTTTTAAGACCAAACCGATCGACCATTTATGTTTAATTTATAAAAAAAGAAATTTAAATAAGGGGCAGATCACATTCCAAGTGGCAGCAGCTGTGGAAATTTTCTTTTTATTTTTTATTTTTTTCAATCCTATCCTCTCATCTCTCACTTCGCCCAACCCCATTCTCCCTCCTTTTCTTCTTCATTCTTCTTCCAGATTGCCGATTTTCCATCCTTTTGTTTTCTTCTTTGCTTCGTACGGAGCTACCATAACTCTGTAGCACCAGAATCCTCCATTAAAATCTAAGATTGTTCTAAAATCGATGAAATCGACCAATCGAACTGACTAGTCAGCCAATCAGTATAAAGATGGCATGGCATACAAGTCGATTTCCATGGTGGGAAACTGACTAGGTTGGTTTTTGGCATTGGGATTGACAAAAAACGACCTCGACCGACCGATGCTCACTACTACTAGGCGAGGAGAAACCTTTAGGAAAATTGAAATTTATGACCCAAAAAGTCTTTAATTTTGCTCAAATGATCTACCATTTGAAAACTTTTTTTTCTAATTTAAAATAACTTTTTCTAACATGATAGCTCACATGAAAGGATGATATTACTCTTGTTTATTAGGGTTTAGGGTTTAGAACATGCTCGGCTTTGGCCAAATCACAATAAACTATTGCTTCTTCCTTGCCCGAGTTCTTCAACCTCCTTGTCTGGGTTTATTTTTCATTTAATGCAACCATAAAACTAATATACTACATTTACCAACCTATGAAATATTTTATTTTCAACCTTAATTTATACTTAGATTTCAGAGAACAAATCACACACCTTCCACGTCGTGTTTAAAAATTAAGCCAATTCACAATTTCATTGTTTAGCTACCAAGATCGTTCAAGTGTAACGTTCATTTTGAAGGTTGAATTCATTTTCAACAAGTTTGAACGAGGTAGATTATCCAATTTTATTGTTTCACAAATCAAGTTATGTTTTTGGATATTAGTTTTATTTTTCAATTTTTATGATGAAGTGATGATAGAGTTATGTTTTTGTAATTTTTGGTTGAAACTCGGGCAGGGATTACAACAACCACGGTCAAGATTCTTAAGAACTATAAGAAACTTGGGCGAGATTGTTGAACTCCCATCCTGGGTTTTTATAACTATAGGATAAAGTTCGTCATAGTCCTCGCTCGAGTTTATCAATAAAAACTCGAGCATGTTTTGCGGATTCCTTGCCTCTATTTCATTTTTTATTTCTAGGTTTAATAGGTTTTCCTTTATTATTCATGCAGAATGCCTCGCCTGTTTGTCATTTACGATGGTCAATTGAATGATGCACAAACTCTTTACCAAGGCAGAGTTATGTGAGGTTTAGATGTAGACGAAAGCATAACATTTGGTTACTTCTTAAATGCGATGTTTAGGCTTACTCAAATAGATCCTGAACAATTCAACCTTGTCATACAATGTATATATAAATTTGATTTCCAGTACTAAGTACCCAATTATTTTATTTCTAATGATACTATCCTTAAATTTTTCTTGATTGGCCTTCATCACCACTCTCAAGTGCCATGTTATATATTGTCATACCAAAGAAAAGGCACAGTAGTGGTAGAAACTCATAGAATATACTCTTCTATCCACAAACCCAAACATTCCCTTCATTTTCATATTACCTAAGACAAAATGTTCCTTCTTTTGTCTCATCTATTCCTATTCATTTCCATTCTAGGGTGTTCCTCCTCCAACCTTTGTCCCATCAATAACCTCGTTGACTAACAATATCGTCCCATGCAACTTAGTCGATGATGGACTACACTATTATGGTGAATGGGATGAGGCTAAGGATGAGGATGATGATGAGTATGAGGTTAAGGTTGAGGATGATGATGAGGCTGGGTACGGTGGGGCTAAGTACGAAGATGTTGATTATGAAGATGCTTATTATGAAGACATGAAGAGGCTGATGATGAGGTGGAGTCTGTTTGTGAAGGTGTTCCATCATCTACACTTGTAATTGAAGGCATTCAATAAGTAGAAGTGCACCATGTTCAATTGTTAATACTTCATGCTCAAAATATGTTACTAGGACAGGTGATGAGCTTGATTCGGTGGATGACATTACAATCAATAGTACTTTTCGATCTAAGGTACAATTGTGCTTCAAATTATCAGTGTTGATTATGAGGCTGAAATTTGAATTTCGTGTTAAGAATCTACCAAGAAATTGTTAACTATCGGATGTACTGAGGAGGGATGCAAATGGAGCCTTCATGCACGAAAGATTCAAGGTTCTGATATATTTCTCATCTCTAGGTATTTGGATGTTCACAGTTGCAGCCATGAGATACTAAACCATGACCACTATCAACCTTCGAGTGGTGGGTCAATTAATAAAGTCGAATGTTTGGAATTCTCTACCTCAATGGATAAGAGATGACGTATAAGCACACACGGTCACAGGGAAAAGATATTCCAAATTCGTATTATCAGGAACTTTTGATTCAAAACGAAATCAATGAAATGTTTCAAACTGCAATTGGGATTATTGGTAAAAATAGTTGATGAAGTCGTAATTTAGTTTATAAAATATCAATATATTGAATAAAAACAACCACTATGCTTCCTACCTTAGTTTTAGACAAAGTAATACAACGGTGAGAAAAGCGTCAGGCACTACTTGACAACTTACTAGAAACTGAGTTCTACTCTTATGAAGAACCGCTTTTGGTTGTTTTAGAGCCTAGGGTAACCTACTATTTTATGTCTATGCTTGATTACAATCTTAGAAAATCATTACCAACTCACCTACTTTTATGGGTCAAAGGACCTATGTCTAGGATCATGTTTTATGTGCTTATGTCTAAATCACATCTCATATTAACTCTCAACTAATTTACCTAACCTGATAAGCGCCAAGATTGTTCGAATTTACAAAGCCAGAGGTTCTTCTAGGATCCTTGCAAACATTCACAAAAGTGACTAACTTACCGGATGATTCCAACCAAGAGTAGGGTTAGAAGGATAAATCACTCTTAGATCACACGCCTAGAGTCTATGATGGTCATTCCTAGATCCTAAGATGACTCATTCCAGAATTAGTTTGATCAAGACTAATCCAATGAATTATTTTAACATCAAACCTAAAGCAAGATTTGAAATAGACAACACCAAATGTGTTGAGGAACAAAAGTTCTTGATTTCAATATGTCAAATCTACCATAACAAGGTGATTACAAGTCTTTAGATAGGACAAATGATCATTCAACAAAGAATACCAAAAATCTTTCAAAATCCTACTTAATGCAAATTGAAGAAAATTAGACATGCAAATTAAAACTTGATTGCACATCAATCTAGACGTTTAAATGCATAACAGAAAACGTAGAATGACTTTAATTGTCTTAAAAATCACATGTAGAAGGTGTTTCACATTTGGATTAGGTTTGACAAGCTTTGACTTCACAAACTCCCAAGAGGTGCAATCTGCCAAGACACCTGTTCACAATTCTGCACACTTTTTTTATCCTCCGTGTCATCTCTCAAAATAGACAATTTTTTTTTGTGTCATCTTTGCTCCATTCTCTTATTGACTCATTGAAGTAACATTATAAAGAATTTTGGCCACAACAATCTTTGTCTCCTTGTGTGCATTGGCTAGCCTTTGAAGATGTAATATGAAAGCCTCTTGAATCTTCTTTGCTTTGCTCTTATAATTGATCCCTTGGGTACATTCAATGGATCAGTGGTTGGATTTGCATCATCCCCCTTTCTTTAAAAGGATTTGTCCCCAAATCAAGGTCTTCATTTCCTACATCAAAATGAGTCAAATAAGCCACATTAAAGTAGAACTTACATTGTACTCACCTCGAAGATCTATTTTGTATGTATTGTCATTGATCCATTCAAGCACTTGAAGGGAACCATCTCCTCTTAGTTGAAGTTTTGATTTCCTCTGATCTGGAAACCTTACATTTCGTAGATGAACCCAAACCCAATCACTTTGCTTAAAAATGACTTTCCTTCTCCATTGGTTCTTGCGAGTGACTAGCTTTTCATTCTTCTTCTCAATTCGTTCTTTGATTTCTTTGTGTAATGTTTTGACGTATTCAGCTTTAAACAATGCTGCATCACTCATAAACATATTAGATGACAAAGGTGATAAATTTAAAGGAGTTATAGGATTAAAGCCATAAACAACCCCAAAGGGTGAACAATGAGTGGTGTTATGTATGGCTCTATTATATGCAAACTCCACAAAAGGTAGAATCTCTTCCCAAGACTTAAGATGTTTAGAATTGATTGACCTAAGCAAGACCCCTAATGTTCTATTAGCCACCTCAGTTTGACTATCGATTTGTGGGTGACAGGTTGTAGAAAACAAAAGCTTGGTACCCAATGTACCCCATAAAACTTTCCAAAAATGACTTAAAAATTTAGCATCCCAGTCACTAACAATGGATTTAGGAATGTCATTTAGTCTAACCACTTCCCTAAATAAAATATTAGCTATATTAGTAGCATCATCCGTTTTGTTACATGGAATGAAATGTGCCATCTTACTGAACTTATCAACCACCACAAAAATGCTATCATGATGTCTTCTAGTTTTTGGTAACCCCAAAACAAAATCCATGCTAATGTCAACCCACGGTTCACTAGAAACTTCTAAAGGTGTGTAAAGACCATGTGGTTGTGCCTTAGACTTAGCCTCCTTACATTTGAAACATTGTTTGCACACTTTGTTCTCATCCTTCCTCATTTTTAACCAATAAAAGTGTTCACACAGCATGTTATATGTTTTAAATTCTCCAAAATGTCCCATAAGTCCTTCGCCATGAGTGTCCTTTACAAGTAACTCCCGAATGGAACACTTAGGAATACAAATCTTACATTTCCTAAAA